TGTCCATTTGGTGCAGTCGTCGCATCATCGTCGCATGCTCGTCGCGCCGTTGTCGCATCGTCGCCGTACCGTCGTCGCGTCGTCACCTTCATGGCCGTCAAGAGCCCTCCTCTTATACTAGAAACCATAGCCCACATGTCTTCAGAGCTTAGATAAGGTTTAGGGTTTAATGTAGGGCCTTGCTTGGTGTGAGGGGTTTTGCGCCGGCAGCAGCAATGCTCTCAACCCCAGCCCAGCTTCCAGGAAGTTCAGAAACTGGGAGAAGAAGGTCACTTTCCTTCAAGCAGCATAGGGCATAGGAGGCGTTGCAAGGGTGCCGATCTGACCTATTAACACCGAGTCATTAACACTAAGTATAAGGCTCTCGGGAAGGGTACACAAAAGCTAGGTTCTGGGGTGTATCAAACGATGATGCTACAGATTGGCTTCAAGGGGATGGTAGTATCTATTCAGGCTTGTACATTACGTGACATGAGGTGGCCGAGGACTGCACGTCTGAAATTTGCTGCGGGGTTTTTTCTGGTAAAACTGTACTCTGCGCTCTGGACTGTAGTGTTCTTTAGGCCCATTTTAAGTCCTTCTAGGACTTAGGGTTCCAGGCTTGAGTCGTGCAACACGAAGGCTCCCTGTTCGACATAGGAAATCAACATGGAACCCTTCAGAATTTGACTGGTGCCCAAGGGCCCGAATTCACAGTTCAAAAACGCCAAGAGACTGGATCCAAGTCAGGTTCAGCACTGTCGAGACCTGGCTGCACTTCGAAGACAAGCGCTTTTGCAAATGGACCCCATGCAACACCCTAACCCCCCAGGTACCTACTATATAGGGCCCTAGGGGCTCTAGTACCCTATATAGTAGGTACCTGGGAGGTTAGGGACACCCTAGGTCTGCTTCGCCGCAACCGTCCCCTGCGATCTGAATACGAACACTCCTGAAATCTCCCCCCATGCCAGACCCGAAACCCGCGATGCTGTCACCTCAGATTGCAGCTGCGGGCTCATATCCTGAAGAAGCGTCCTGAACTGCGCGATCGCTTCAACGTTCAGACTCCGCAAATACTAACTACGCCCATCGCTACCGTGTCGCGGTGCAAGCATGAGTACCCCTGCATTGTGATGCATCCAGGTTCAAAGCTTCAACTCTTACGATTCGTCCGCATAGAAAACCCAGGACTACCGCACCCGTCTTCTGTCATGCGCCCCTGCAACTACTGTAACACCTGTTGAAACGCTTCCTCGAGAGTGAACTTGAGTTCCCCTTCCTATCTGTGCACAGGCAGCTCCGGTGGGCAGTGCTGATCGCACGTGTATATTCCAGGAACCAAAATAATTAGAATAGGTTTTGGGGTATCTTATCCTATAACTACGAAAAGCAACCCCCAAATAGGCCTGTATAGTAAGGGGCCTTAGTCGAGATGCACCGACAGAACCCAAAGAAGTTGTGATGAATCTTCTGATTCCACTCAACTGGCTCCGAACGACCACTGTGCCGGCGAGGTTCTGTTGTGTCAGGAACTGAACTTGGTGCCGGTTTTGCAGAAAGAAGCCTCTCAATCTCGCTTTGAGTTCGCGCGGTAGCTCCTGACAAACCGGGTTGGAACGCGCCGAGGCCTAGAATTGTAAGGTGCCTGAACATGGCAGGCTGGCTTGTTTCACGTCGTCGGTGTCTTTGTAATCAGTCTAGCTTGATATCTGGATCTGTGCCGCTGACTAGCACAAGCTCCTTGTTGTTTACGGCTCGGATACAAGACTTTATGTAACGAAAATATAGAGCCTTCAGAGTTTTGGCAAGTAACGAATGTGTCAAATAAGTGCTGTTCTGTGTGTGCTTTTTAGGCTCAAAGGGTGATTTTGGCAGCCGCAGGCGGGGACGTTCCTGGAGTGGTCCTGCTTGCACTGTGACGTGCTCTTTGACCGTTTGGGGTCTACGCCTCCGCTGAGTTTAGGGTTTAGGATGTACGGTTTAGGGCTCAGGGGTTGGCATATTGTTTTTTGCACAGGCTCCTTTCCTGGGGTCATGTCGCTAACTAGCGATGATGGGGAGTGCTACGGATAAATGCTCGGGATTCTTCCAAGTTGGGCATGCTCGTTCTAAGGAAGCGGAGCAATGAGAGTGCAATGTCCCCTGGAGAGGTTGGCGTAGCTTGGGATCCCTGGCCCCGAATATTAAATCCAATCGTCCACGGCCGCGGAGGCGAGCTACGGGATTCAGCCCCCAACCTGATTGCACCAAGACCTGTCGTTCCCCCTCCTGCATCTTCATCATACGGTTCAGGTGATACATCCTCTTGCGGAAGTCTTGGCTCTCGCTGGTCATGTCCGCCACGATGCCACAAACCTCACCCAGGATATATGCCCAGCAGAGGCCAGCGCTCAGGATGATCCCGCAGCAGACCAAGCGCTCCAGGATGTTCTTTGGGCCGATATCCTGGGAACTCGATGGTTAAAACCTCCTACCCGTTACCCTAAAGGCCTTGCCCATAGGCTCCATTGAAGTTCCTTTTTGGGATTGCCTTATAGGGTTCTAAATATAAACCAAAAAAGGAACTGCAATGGAGCCTATGGGTAGAGCATACATGAGGTCGACAGCCAAGCTATCCGGCCCAGCATCTCCGTAGCCCACGGAGGTCATCGTGTAGGCGCAGAAGTAGAACGCGGCAACGTAGATTCGGAGAGGCGATCTCGACGACACGATTCCGAACTCCAGATCCGATGATTCGATGTCGTTAATCCATCGGGGAAACCTGGGGAGGGAGGTAGTGGCGGCTAGACAAACGAGGCGTTTTTGGGGATCTGCGAGCTTGTCTGCCATCTGTTTAGGGTCTGGTCACGGTTACAGGTAAGTCACGGTGACCCTATCTTCGTCCATCCTGTGGCGGAACATATAGTTTGGTGGTCCCAGATCGAATTTCAATAGACGACGTACCAGGAGGGATATGCGGAATGTAGCCAATGTAGCGAGATGTTTCCGGCATGTGTCTGGGTTGTGCGCAGCTCAGCATTCGGAAGAAAAATCAATGAGGAAGCAAGGGAGAGACAGAGAGAGAGAGATAAGGGTAGACGAGGATGTCAGGAAAGCTCTCTGGGCGTGGTTGCTGGAGTGGTGCCATTGATGCGCAAGGCCTCCATGCACACAGCAGAAAGCCAAGACTTTATCTTAAAGCTGCAGGCGCAACACATGGAAGCAACCAGCGGTATGTTCAGAAAGTATGCCCATCACGGATGCTACGAAAATGCACTGCTGATTGCCCATTACTCCCGGCACGATGATCGAAGACATGCCGGTTGACAGTATTGAACGTGACATTGACCGAATTTACGAGCCAGGCCAAGCAAGTATTCGCAGAATGCTGAGACTTCGAAGGTACGACCAGCACTGATGCCAGCCTTACGAAACCCTGTTGATCGCCCAGATGAAGGAAACGATAGTTAGAAAATGCTGACAGCAAAGCTTATACGCTCGGTGCTCCTTGACTCTGAGTGCAGCGAACTGGAGTGAAGGTACCAATGCTGCCATGCGTTTGCAGCCAACCCGAGGAGTCTGCAAGTTCACATAGAACCCAGGAAATCTATTGCTTGGACTGTCACACTCCTACTCCCGATACCTGAAATCCTACCCGTTCCGGCTACAGTACGCACCCAAACCGGCAGATACTTAAATAGTAGGTGGCTACTACCATGTAACGTGCGACCCAATAACCCATGAGTTGGTGAACTGCAGCTACGGTGCTCAGTCGTTGCTCTTTCTTGCTGCCGAGAATCTCAGGGTCCACAAGCTGCAACGTCATAGCCCATAAGCCTGAAACAAGATCCACATGGTCTAGGGTCTAGGGGTGGGGTGATTGTGGTGGTGGTGGCGGTGGTAGCGATG